TGTACACTTAGCATTTTCCTTTAAATTAAATGTTTTTGCATGATAGAAAATTTGACCACTTTTTTTTTAACATGTTTGCTGCACCTTTATCAAAGAAGAAGAAAGGTCGATACTTCTGAATGGGAGAGCTCCATGTGTTAGTTAAAGTTTTATCAAATTTAAATGAGTTATATCAATAGTGATTTTTCGAAGATTGTATGGTTAAAAAGCAAGCAAAAAATTTCAATTTACATACAAATTATTTTATTGAAAGAATGTGTGTTGAAATTGAGTTCAAGAAAAAATGGAACTCGAACAAGGACTTAACGTCACAAAATTTATTGACGACAATTAGACGAGAGTTAATAATTGAAATCGAATCCCTCCTTCTCTTAAAAGAAGGAAACCGTGATTCACTGTTCAATTTTGTTATACGAGTTTTCACGTTGTAACTGGTTTTTCTACAGTATAACCGACTTCATCCCTCCTTAATATCTTTCATTTGTAAAATATCTTTTTTCTTCCATGCATATTTATCCCTATTTGGAGAAAAGGTAGCAATTGAGCTCTCTCCTTTATGGTTTTGCCCTGATAGATATCTTCTCGTAAGCTGCTTCTGTAAGTGTCGTAAGCTGTTCTTGGAGGTATGATTGAGGATTTGTGGCTATATAAATTGAAAGAACCGAGCATTTACGATGAGAACAAGGACGAGCCAGGTTTTTTTTTTACCAAATCCTTTTATGGGAATTCCAAGAAATGATGAAAAGGAAGTTGAGAATTTTTGTTCTGCTGGTTTTCATATGTTTAATTTGGTTTTCGACGTAATTTTTATTTGTTTTGATTTTTAATGGCATCTGATTTTATTTAAAAAAAGATCATCAATTTAATCTTGTTTGGAAAATTGCTAATTAGTGACATTTTCTTCATGTTTCATGTTAGTTATTTGTTTGAATGGGAAAGTGATTTAGATTCATTTTTGGTAGAAGAAGAAGGAAAAACACTCTCTGCACAGTGCGAAGACACGGGCTGGTGTAGACCAGCTCGTGTCGAAAAAAATAATTCGATTGCTCCCACGCACTGCGGAGTTGATGCTCCGCATTAGGCTTTTTTTTTTAAATACTGTGCAAACAATAATAA